CAACAACCAGGTGGTGGTCGGATCCTATGACTGCTCCTCGCTTTGCTCTCATATCCTGCAGTGAGGCCCTCCAACGACGCCTTACCGCGACATGATCAATCTGGTTTTCAGTGTGATGATCTGGTGATATCCAGGTGGCTTTATGACACCTTCGGTGGGTGAAAAGTGTACCGCCGACAGTAAGCTCATTTGAGGCACAAAAGTCTGCTAAGAGTTCACCATTTTCATTCATTTCCCCTAGGCCATTGGTTCCCATCTCCATTTCCCTGCCTCTGTTGTCTTTGCCTACTTTGGCATTTAAATCACCCATGAGGATCAGCATGTCGCGCTTGGGTACCTTATCAACCACCGACTGAAGCTCTTCGTAGAAACGGTCTTTTTCTTCCTCGTCTGCGTTGTTCGTAGGAGCGTAGCACATGATAATGGAGGTCTTTTGAAACCTGGATTCAAATCTAGCTGTAATTATTCGATCAGATACAGGTTCCCATTCCATCAGGCTTTTTGTTGCCTCCTTTGTCAATAGCAAGGCTACGCCTGCCTCTCGTGGGTCGTCCTCATTTTCTTTTCCCGAGTATAACAGTGTTTCTCCCGTCTGGAATTTTGTCTTTCCAAAGGTGTTCCATCTTGTTTTTACTACAAGTAATTGACTACATCAATAGTATGAAGATGTTATTTAACAAATTAACTTTTACTCATATTTTTGTGCTGTTAATACATCTGCTTAAAAATAATGGTTTGCGAAAATTGATTGTGCATGAGACTTAAATGGCATTACATATTTGTTTTTATACTACTTACTGTAAGTTATTAACATAACGTTTATGTATCAGCAAGTCGCGTCTTACGCCATTATGTTAAGCTGTAACTCAATCGCAACTGTGACTTGTTTCGACCTATTCCCTGAGGCGTCCAGCCATATTCCCTACTCTTTGTGGAAAATTAACAGGTACTGTTGTTAAATAAGACGTGTGGACATCTTTGTATGTCAATGTGTGTGTGTGTATGTCTTTATGTATGTGTGTGTGTGTGGAGTAAGTTAAATAGACACTTTCACGTGTATGTATGTGTGAGTGTGTCTTTATGTATGTGTGTGTGTGTTGAGTAAGTTAAATAGACAGCTTCCCGTGTATGTGTGTGCATAATGTAATTCAGAAAGTCAGATTATTGTATTACAGCAAATCAGGTCAGACAGAAAAGCATTTAGTCCGGTTAAAAAGTCAGACACACCTGGGCGTAGTTATTGATGTATTCATATGACATTTTCGAGTGGTTTAAATCAAGGGTTGAATGTCTTTTTAAAATATTTCAAACAAACAAAAAAGGTAATTAAAAAGTTATGTAGATTAACGATAAAAACGAAGTAGTTAAGGATCGTGTCAATTATTATTGAGAAATATAGTCAGGTAACAGAAACAGAGTTTGACACATTTTTTATAAAGCTTTAGACTAGTTCCAGGATTAATCTCCTAAGCCAGGGGTTCCCAACCCTGTGCCCGCGGGCGCCATGGCGCCCGCTGAACGATTCGTATGTGCCCGCCTCTCACTATTCGACAGAGACAGAATTATTTTCATAAACATTATTTTAAAATATAATTTTTTTTTTCATTTGTTACAGTTTGATTTTATTTTTTTTGACTGCTTAGATTTATTAAATATGTTCGATACTTGTCCCAACTAGTCTAGCGGCGAGACAGACTGCACTATTTACGCTAGCCTGGAACGGCTAGTGCCATTTGCACATCACACCTTGAACAGGCAAAAAGCATTCCCCGCCTGGAACCGCGTTGTTGTCATTGTGATTGCTGCCCTGTTCGTATCGCGACAGTTAGATAAGAGATATGCTCGTCAGACGAAACACTAATTAGGAGTTTTCTATTAAAAAAAATTAACAGCCTAAAAGCGAGGTGCGTAATTTATTGTATTCATAAGCGATGATTGTTTTGTTTATTATTTATTAATACAACATGACTATAAGAAAATAAATTACGGGAAACTGACAAGTTATGGAAGGAGTTTGTCGATTTAAAATAGGGGGTGCCCGCCACCCTACCGATATTTTAGAATGTGCTCTAGAGTAAAAAAAAGGTTGGGAACCCCTGTCCTAAGCTATTTGATCAGTAACTAATTCATATACATATTTGATCGACTTAATGCATATATATATGTATATATATATATATATATATATATATATATATATACATATACATATACATATACATATACATATACATATACATATACATATACATATACATATACATATACATATATAAATGATTGATTTGATTTATAAATGTCTTTTATCGATTACATCTGTGTGTCTAAAATATAATTATTTTTAGTTAATATTCATAATTTAAAAGGTAATGAAGAAGTTAAACGGAGGCAAATCAATTCATCAATAACGATAACAGAGGTTTAATCAATCCACTAAAATTTGGAAACAGAAGGATAATTATTAAGCTATTGTAACTTCTACTTTCAGCTTGCCACTGTTAAGTTACGGTTCATGTGGCGAATCTATTCTAGATGACATTTGCACCTGTTGATAAATATCATGGCATGTCATCTCTCAATATTCTCCTTCGGTGACGCAATTTTAATATAGGTACTAAAGGCGTTAAAAATTAGAATTTTTAAAGTATGTTTACCTTATTTGAATTTAACACAATGAAATAAAAACCCATGTTTAGAAAAGTAAGATTTTGTGTTTCTTGTTACTTAAAAGTTAGCATATTTATTAGTATTGTAACAACACTTTATTCTAAATATTGTGTTAGAAAGGCAGCGGTTATATAACACATTTCAATACAATTTATTAATAAATTTTATTTTATAATGTATGTGTCATAGACTATTGGACATTAATACATGTCAAAACAAGCACTTCTTTGATGCTTTATATAATATTTTCACCGAGAAAAATATACACGTGATGTAGTGTTTATGTACATAACTCTTTAGTTTTAGAATACCAATGTAGGAAATATACTCAGCATGTAACAACAGCATGCTTAATATGTTTAACTAGCTCTAGCAACATAATTAGCACTACAACAATCCCTTTTTTTTAACTTCTACTTTAATATTTAATGAGCATGATAAGGAAATCCTACCTAAGTACTAAACTAACATCAAGAGTAATAACTCAGTTGTTTGTAATATGTTCGTAAGGTCTATTACAATCTGGAGAATATTAAAGCTTTAATATGTTTATGTGTTAGTGGATGAGCGATTACGAATGCTGAAAATAGCCTAAGTTTAAACCCCTGTGATACCATCAGCATCCAAAGTACTATAGCTCTGACAGGTATTGAACATATGTCATTTCAGCAAAGACCAAACACTCCACTCATATGCTGAGTTTGAAGACCGATATACATTCATAGATCTGTGCAGTTATCCCCCCTACCAACTTTAGAGGCTGGGTTATACAGTCCTGCATATTGTGAATAAATCGCATCTAGTATCAATTTATGTGTTAGCTTTGATGTAAGTTAATCAATACCCCACACGTCGTACAACTGACAAATAAATCACACACACCCACACATACACACACAGGTATTGAGTAGGTCGACGCTGTGTTACAACTTGATACCTGGATACATGTACTTACGTTGATGTTGTATGGACGCACTAAACATCTGCTGTAGAGTATCTAAAGTTAGCTCAATATATCATCATAAATTCAATATTTGATTTCTAACTAAAATCTCTCTCTTATGTCAGGGCATAAACACCACAGATTGAAGATTGTACAACAAGACCATCGGTTAATGTACTTGGTGTTGAACTAGCAGCTATTTGTTTACATTTGAAGCATTAAACTAACGTATTAAATTAACTGTTTTAAAAAGAGTAGAGTGTTTACGTGCTTGGAGCCAACGTGTCCTTTAATCGGATTATTATTTTATTAGACTGGGGTAGAAACCAACGCTCAATATTGTATAGGGTTGTGCTCGCGTTCTCAAAGTACTTTACACAGAATCATTCAAACACAAAGTCTCCAAACCACAGACACATTCAAACATTGAGGCATTAAAATGTCGACACACTAAAAAACAGAGTCGCTAAAAGATACGCTAGAAAACGAACACATGAAAAAACAGACAGACGGACAACTCGAACTTAATCCTAGGTAAACCAAAACAGGGACTCACTCAATCGTGCATACACATAATCACAGATATGGCCTACACATAAACACAGCCAATACATACTCACTTAAATTCTTCAGCGCATAACATCCATCCACAGCGATACTACATGAACAACATATTTAGTAAAACACATATCATCAACAAGACATACATATACATAGATACAATAACATTGACGAAAATAGATGAAGCTTGCATTAGTTTAAATTTTTAAAAATGTTATTCTGGGTAATAAAACCTTTTTTCTATCTGGATGTATTTACTAAAACCTACAGTTTGGTAGTTGATTTGTGTGTACTTAAACCTAGATTTGGTTATTAATGTTTGTGTTAACTAAAACCTACAATTAGGTTGTTTATGTGTGTGTACAAAAACCTACATTTTCGTTTTAGATGTGTGGGCTAAAACCTAGTTGGTTTGTGATGTGTATGTGTGTGTGTATGTACTAAAACATTTAGTTTGGTTCTTGATGTGTACGTGTGTTCACTAAAACCTACAGTTTGGTTCGTGATGTGTGTTTATGTGTAAAAAAACCTTCTGTTTGATTTTTAATGTGATTGTGTACACTAAAACTTTAGTTTGGTTCCTGATGTGTTTGTATGTGTGTATACTAAAATTTACAGTTTGGTTCTTATTGCTTGCTATATTATATCACACACATGTTTGAGTGACATGATAGACGTTACACACATAAGAAAATCTCAGAGTTTTACAGATGTGTGATGTAATGATGTCACATAGTCAATAAAATAGCATTCACATGTTGTCCATAAACGAACCAGTTATAGTTGGACTTTATCATGTTTATATAGACAAATGCATGAAGTCAATGCACATCTCTTACATTGAACTTTAAATCTGATTATGTTTTTAACCGTTCGAGAAATATAAAGATGTCTCTTGTAAGTCAATTAGCATTGGTTGTCCTCTGTTTAGCTTCTGTCTTGGAGGAGGCGTCTACATTTGGTGAGTAAATTTACCCTAAATAGTTCACTGTGCTATAGATCAGCCTACGCCATTAATTGTTAGGTATACAGGTGGCATTAAAACGGTGTATTCACTTTTGAAAAACTAAAACTAAAAATAAACAAAGAATTGTATAGTTTATGAAAGTGTGGCGTGCGTGTATATGTGTGAGAGTGTATGTATGTTACCTCACTCTAATGATCACTCACAATTTTAACCCTCGTTTCCCAGACTGTGGGTGTTCGCTAGTGACCAGGTACCTGGCCCTGATTTCTGGTGAGTACAGTAACGCTGGGGATGTTGGGACTGTAGGCCCAGCCTCAACACAGGATGTTCTGTACATGAAGTTTCAACAGGTGGACGTCCCAGCCCTCGAACCTGTACGTTGATTGCATACTTATTGTTTTAATCTTTTTTCTTCTTCGTTCTTATTTTTGTGTTGTAGGGGATTCCCTATAAAACTAGTAAGTATTACGTGTCAAAATGTAATACGCTAAATAGACAGTTGTCTCCGATTTCAGCCCGCTTTTCTTTTTGGATTTCTTCGATAACCTGCGCCCAATCAAGAACAAACTGCTAGGCAGCATTTGTTTTATTTTGGAGTTGTCTCTCCTAGAAGAGTTGCTGTCCACAGCTCTCGAGTTGTCTCTCCTAGAAGAGTTGCTGTCACCAGCTATCGAGTTGTCTCTCCTAGAAGAGTTGCTGTCACCAGCTATCGAGTTGTCTCTCCTAGAAGAGTTGCTGTCACCATCTATCGAGTTGTCTCTCCTACCAGAGTTGCCGCTCCCAGCTATCCAGCATCATCTGCATCAAGGTTCGAACTGGAGACATTTTGGTCTCGCAAACATGAGCTTGCGTCGAAAATATAGATTGTATATATACGTACTTCATTTAACTACGTCTACAACGTGGATTTAATCATTTTCGCATAGTGTCTAAAGTTCATCCACCCTTCTGAAGGCTACGAATTATGTGATAGCTCGTTGTATCACCAACGTCCGTTTCAGTAAATATGATCGTTGTGGTTAGCACATATAGCAATGATGTAGCATGTGTAGAGCCGGTATGTTTTATAGAACTAAGATAATCTGACTATATTACGTGTAGCTGTAATAGTATACCAAGAATTTCATATTAGTATACGCTAAGCTGTTTATTTGTTTTTTCCTCTTCCAGAATACAGCTGATTACTTGTTATGTCGCCTATGTCGTGGAGTAAACGTTTAACCTACCTATCCGTGTTATTTCAGAGTAAATCTCTATACTTTGAAGAGAAAATCAACTCTGTTCTATTTAGACGTGAGATCATGGCGGTAAGCCAGACTAGCCAGGGCTATATCAGGATGTTACCCTATACATTCACGCTACCTGCGGGGTAAGGGACACAAGTCAAACATCTTTTTACGTTAATTTTTAAAGACGTTGTGGTGTGATAATACAAAAAGTTGAGCATGGCTTTGATATTATTATTATTATTACAAGTATATAACAGCACATGATGCAACAAAATATTCCAATATTGATATTTTCGACAAACCAACATTACAACTTCATAAGTAAATGCTTAAGCAGTCTCAAATTTCGTAGATACAGAAGAATCACACCTCACTCAAACAGCCAACATCACTAGTCACCTCTTGCTTCAAATTACATTTTCATTTTCTAAGTGTTTAAACTTTTTTTTTACAACTATTTTTACAAATATATTTCAATCTATTAATTGGTAATATATATTCACAAAATGTGAAGATATTTCAAAATCAATGACTAAATGTGTTTATTAGTGAAATATAAGTTACTTTAGCTTTACTTATTTCTGCAATTGCATTACACTTCAGTCTAAATTTCGTATCGATTGCAAAGTATCCAATAAATAAAACATTAAGGCGCCTTTACAACATACACATTACAACAACCGTCTCTAAACACTGATTTGTTCAGTCGAGTCTCCAGATCAGATTCCATACATCTATACATGTTCATGTTTAGATCTGTACACGACAATGTATGCACTGTATCAGGACAACATACTGTATACATAGGTCTGCCATACATGATTCTATCACGTGTTCTTAGGTCAGGGAATTTGAATCTCTCCATGTTCAGCGACATGCCTCTCTCTTCACTCTCAACACGTCCGGAGTGTGAAACTATCTACAGACCAGTGGAGTACAATGTGTTCATTGGCGCCTCCCCAGAGTGTAGTGGTCATCTTGAAGGGGTATGTGGACGGATGAACAAACATACATGTATTGGAAAACTAAAAAGTGTACAAGTAGTCAAGTAAAGAAGTATTAGTTCAAGCGGGAAGAAACTCTGAGTCTAATATAGGACAATTAATCTAGCAGCTACAACTTCGACAACTTTGACAACTCCATTGCTCCAGTTGTATGACCAGGTATTATCTGATTCCAGAAAATTGCAACCTACACTGGAATCGTGAGCTGTAACTCTATATCAGGTGCCTCTACTTTAAACAACATCTTCCCTGAGGTCTTCAGCAGGATCCCCTACGCTCTTTGGAAGATAAACAGGTACTCTATAGTAACAGTCTGTCTCTTGTGTAAAGAACATAGCCTTATACCTAGGAGATTAGAGAGGACATTTAACCGTAGTACTTAAAGAGCACAGCGAGGATATTCAACTGTAGTCCTTAAGGTGAACATACATGACAAGTAAGTGTAGTCCTTAAGGAGAACATAGAGGACATGTAACTGTGGTCCTTAATGAGATTAGAGATGATATTTAACTGTTTTAGTTTCGAGAAATTGAGGAAATTTAACTCAGGTCATTAAGGAAAATAGCGGGGACATATAACTGCGGTCATTTAGCACACGCAAACATAGTCGCTCAATCAGGTGGACGGTTGTGAAAAATCTAGGTCATATAGGATGATGGCCTACATGCCTGAGACCTACCTCGGACTTAACAATTTAGGTCGCAAGTTATTGATCGTACTTTTTTTTAATTTTCAGCATATTTAGTCTTATTTAAATTTCATTGAGAAATGTCAAAACAATCTAGTTATTGCACATAAATTATCTTACACATTTTAGCGACGAATTATTGTACAAAGAAAAAGCAACTTTGTTATGTTATATTTGAAGAATCACTGCATTTGATATCGTAAACTTATACTAGGGCGTTCTTTTTGTTTTACTATAACTTATAATTACTCCATGGACAAGGTCGGTTTAAAAGTTGTAAAAATGTAAAATAGCCTTAAACTTTGTAAAACAAACACTACTTATACTTGATGTGAACCTCTACTTGCAGCATACCTCTACTGTCTTATGGTGCATGTGACGAGATTGTCATTGATCAAATATGTAGCTGTTAAGTTACTCAAACCAACAGTTCGACATCATTAAATGCAATAAACTTATTATAACAAGCATATACTTTTGTGTGAACAATCGATATATGTTGTATGTATTCGTAACTTGTCTTATATCTATGTCACGCAAATAAACTGAAGTTTATATGATATACATGACAGATCACTTGTGCAAATGGCAGATATTTCTGAGAACCTGATATCCATTAGAGATGGACATTCACGATCTGATTAGAGTATGTAATCAGACACCGCGTTTCATCTCAAATTGAAACATTCGTTTACATTTTAAAAATGTGATTTAATTTGGAAAAACAACTGAATTTTAAAAATAGACGAAAGGAAACGTGATCGATCGATGAACATTACATCTGCCTGAGCAGTTCAGGCACACCAAAAGATGATCGACGCAATTATTACTTTCAAACACATTACCTCACCACAGTGGCGTCGCTAGGTCGGGTGTCACCTGGTGCGACACTTCGTGGTGTCACCCCCTCCAAAGAAACAAAGTTTATATATATATATATATATATATATATATATATATATATATATATATATATATATATATATGTGTGTGTGTGTGTGTGTGTGTGTGTCGGCCTACATAGACATATAATTTAAATATATGCAACATGAGGCTACATGCAAGTGTATAAGCTTTAATAACTCTAGACTTAGTTGTAAGAATGTTTATCTATAGTCTGTTAAATAATACTGTCATTATAGTTAGCACGTTTACGTCATGGTGTCACCCCCCCACCCCCACCCTCTGGTAATAATTGTCGATATGTACTTAAAAGACTATTTAACAAAGTAATCACTAATGGATCTGGCAAAGAGGCATTTTTCTTCTGTACATTTGCAATTTTTGGGCTTGGTTTTACCCCCCTAAATGGTGTCACCCGGTGCGGTCCGCACCCCCCCCCCCCCCACCCCAACCCACCCCACCCCGCCCTCGCTACGCCTCTGCCTCATCACAATGATGAAAGATACCTGAAGCCTGAGTTAACCTTCAGCAAAAGACAATTTCAATAAACAATAAATTAAACGTTAATACAATATGAGTCACAAATGTCGGCAGCGACTGAATTCATGAAACTGAGCCTAGATGGCGATATATAAAAAGTTATTTGACAGCTGATAATAAATTGGATTGCTCTGATTTTCAACACCAAACTTTTGAAATCTGCTAAACGGAATAAAAAACAGCAACAAACAAGTAACTTGATATACATTTTCCACGGGAACTATATACAATCTGTTTTACCAGGTAGCGTTTTTGCGTGACGAAGTATCGAAGGGAAATAACTATGTTAGTCTTGCGCTCAAGAATGATTAAAGTAACCACCCCTTGTTATCTAAGATGTATGTACCACTTTGTGATGGGTCAGCCTAATTGATCATTAGCTGGGTTGCTTGTACACATGTGTCTTATGTGTAGGGGGGGGGGAGATGAAAATTAGCGGATGTTGATTGAAATGTGTTTTCTGTATAACTAAATTGTATTCTATATTTCAACAAACTGGCTGATGGACGTGCTCTGGAGAGGAGAATGACATTATTCCCTCACAACGGAGGGGTGCTTGAAAGAAAAGGAGCACCTGTGATCTGGAATGCAAGCATTGATGTCAATAAAATACTGCACTTATTTTAAAAACTTCTTGTTATCTATTTGCATTAATATACTGCAGAGTTACAATTTTTTTTAAATTTCCACATATCTTAAGTGGGGCGGACACAGGTGGGCCCCCCTCCCCTCCCCAAAGAGGTTCATGGAAGAAACACTGTTTTCTTGTCACAAGTATTTTTTTCTCCTGCCTGTCAAATCTCACTCTTTTTTATAAGCAAATGTAGTTTAAACAGTAACCATACAATTAAAGAAAAAATGAATAAAAAATTAAAATACAGGAACAAATTGTTATGACTATTGTAAAATGCTATTTGTATAAATAAAATCTAGAAGGTGAGGCGAGATTGGAAGCCAATCCACTATCTAGTTTAGTTGTGTGTAGCTATAGTTAAACTAATGTTATAGGTCCGTTACATTTAAAAAAAAAAATAACTGTTCCCCATGTTATGTGAATAAGCATGCACATATTGGTTTATGTTATCCTATGCCACTGTACACATATGAGTTTGTGTTATGTGATGCCACTATGCACATATTAGTTTATGTTATTCGATGCCACCAAACAACTTTGCAGGGAATAAAGGCTAAAAATACAAAAGTCAAAAGCACAATTGAATCCAGATGAAAACGCAAGGAAATTAAATTAATATCGATTGGTGAGCCCTACCGCTGTTCTTATCATTCTAAAAATTTCAGTCAGAGAACCATTTGACATTTTTTTCAACAGTCACAATATTCAAACTGTGCATTGTTCTTAACAGAGACTTTTAAACGATAAACAAGAAACCGTACAATATGTTTAAGTCTACATGTGTAGACCACGAATAAATTAATTACTGATTATAAATAACGAAATTTAGCCCTTTAGAAAATGTCTCTTATGTTGTTTTACTATTGCATTTTCCTATCTAAATTCTTGCGGATTGAAGCAGGTATGTTTACAACATCAAAAATTTAAATTCTAATGATACTTTTTTAAAAATTGATATGATGCCTACTTTAAAAAAAAAAAGTATAGACTTGAATAAAGTACTTTTTTAAACATGGAATAATCATATATATATATATATTTATATATATATAAATATATATATATATATATATATATATATATATATATATATATATATATATATATATATATATATATAAATGTGTATATATATATATATATATATATATATATATATATATTTATATATATATATATATATATATATATATATATATATATATATATATATATATATATATATATATATATATATATTGAGATTATGACTGCTAAACCCGAAAATATCGAGGTCGGGTGCAGCGTTTGAGTAAGTAGGATTTCACTGCAGTACTAATGGGTAATTGTAAGGAAAACTAAAGGGCATAGGGCTGATCCCTTGATATGCGGTGTTGATTGAAAAAGATAAACATTATCCACATAATGTGAATCATATACAGTCGCTCGTTACTCTACGCTATACCTTTTAAAATATTTACATTAAAATATTGGAACAAATATCAATAATATTGTTGCGATTGTCCTCAAAGAAAATACACTGCTTTGCTTGAATGAGATCAGGTAGGAACTTGGGCAGTTTAATTTCGTATTTTATTTTCATAGAGTAGAAACTTATTTGGCTTACCTAACTTATATATATATATATATATATATATATATATATATATATATATATATATATATATATATATATATATATATACGAGCCGACCCTCTATTTAGTTGCTTTATTTTCTACTTTTCAGTAATTCATAATTTGTGAATTCGACACTACCCTTCCAATATACTGCAACTGAAAATATTTTGCTTTTAAAAAACATTATCAGTAGCTCGTGAAGGACGATTATCCTGACCCTCACCTTCCACCCCTCCCTCTCCCCCCCCCCCCCCCCCCGCCCCCAAGTTAAAGCAGCCATCCGTGACGACAGTCAACAGACGAAAATGAAAAGATCAAACAGAGCTTGTTATTACCTCCCTCTAGTTTCAAATCGTTTAAAACCTAAATTATCTGTCTCTGATAGTCTACGTTTGTAAACAGCTCACCAGACTGTTGGGGGTGGTAGCGATACGGTCTTTTGAGCATGCCTGGAGAGCGAGATAGGGGAAGGTTATGCGTGCATCTACGACTTCTCCCGCTTGGTCCCTATGAAGAGAATCTATATATATATACGAGCCGACCCGCGGCGTATCATACGCCGCTATTTAGGTGTTTTATTTTCTACTTTTCAGTAATTCATTATTTGTAAATTCGACAGTACCAATGCTTTCACTCAAAATATGTGCTTTAAAACACTATCAGTAGGTCGTTAAGGACGATAACCCCCCCCCCCATCCTCCTTTCCCCCAACCCCAACCCTACACCCCCCCCCCCCGTGAAAGCAGCCTCCTCTTAGTTACCTCCCCTAGCTTTAAAATTGTTTCAAACTAAACTATCTGCCCCTAATAGCCGTCACTAAACCCGGCTCTACGATTGTAAACATTTAGAGTGAACCACGTGTAAAATAAAATTATCTTTAAGACTTGTATTCTGTTCTGTGTAGTTCAAATAGCATGTAGTGAAGGATGGTTTGGCTCCAGCTGCCAATACAAATGTCACTGTGTCAACAACAACTGTGATGGCCAAGGTCTGTGTTTAGCTGGGTCAAGTTGTGAGCGGGGCTGGTTTGGTCCACTCTGTCAGTACCGTAAGTTTACAGAAAAAGTTAACTTAAGCAACCCTATAATTTAACCCATTGCAAATGTTGTGATGACCTGTCTATTGTGTTTAGAGGACCTGGCGACGGTCGGAGCTATTTTGACACCATCCGACAGTCGTATCAATGACGGAAATGACGAAACATGTTCCAGCTTGCAATCTATAATGATCACATGGGATATAGCACACCAGATCACGTGGGCACGAGTTGAGGTGATGGGACAAGGTAAAAGGTTAACAGCATCTAGTTTGTGTTTAACAGACCCGGGTTTTAAGTATTTAAATAAAACCTGAGTGTTGAATGTATACATTTAAATTCCTGTTTTCAAAGTCACTGTAATACTTTTTAAAACCAGCTAGATAATGTAATCTTTACTTTGAAATTGCCTGCAGGCTCGGGTATATTACAACAACAAAATAATATGTAATTGTAAACTGAGTTTTTTGTGTAGGCATATATATGTATGTGAAATTAAAAAGCTAAGCTTTGCACCATGCGGTATGTGTGTGTATGAGAGTGATACTGGATATTCAAATTTAATTGTAATTTATAAGTTGACATTTGTCGCTTGGTGTTTTATTCATCTCACCGATTATGTTTTTCAATATGTGCACCTCATATCACTTGATTCAACATTGCTTATTCGATACACAAAACAGTATAAAAACATTCTTTCTACTGTTTAGCTTTAGCGCCGGTAGTTTTTTTTTTAAATGATACATATTTTATTATATATATATATATATATATATATATATATATATATATATATATATATATATATATATATATATATATATATATATATATATATATATATATATATATATATATATATATATATATATATGATATATGACCTACACATTTAAAAAAAAATATTTTATCCGCATTTTGAAAAAGATAATGGTTTAATGAAATATTTTAAACTGAAATAAATTTTATTTTATTTTCAAAACCTAAATAATGTTTATTTAATCTGCAGTTTACAGTGCATAATCGTCTGATTGTAACTCCTAAGTGTTGTAGACTAAAGTCAAACTTATTATACCTTACACAATTTCATTTTTTTTTTTGACAGAATCACTATCAAACATCACATTTTCAATAAGAGAAAAGTGTAGCGACAACTGCTCTATTATCATAAGGGAAATAACTCTGCTGCCTGTAGACGACAGAATCACAGACATAGTACTCACCAGAGGTGTACTTGCCATGGAAGTTACATTCGACTTTGGTGCAAGTATTTCTCTATGTTCCATCAACATCAATGGTGGTAGGTCAAGTTGATTTTAAATGTTCATTAAATAAGGCTCATTAAGAGGATAGTGGGGAAATATGGTCAATTAGTTGAGAATAAAAATCCTGAACTCATGATTTCTGAATGCCTTATAAGTCAGCTCACCATTGACAGATAAGGGCTTACAGTGGGAAATATTTCTATAACAACACTACAGCAAACAGTTTTATAATAATAACGTGACGAAACCGCAATAAATGCTTAAATAAAATGTAATAAACATGAACATTCAAATCACTAACATTTCGCATAACATTTCATTGGTTATTGGTCTCTAGGTCGCAATGTTGCTCTGAAGCAAGCCACGTGGCAATCTTCTGTCTACAGAGAGCCTAACTTTGAGTTTGGCTCACATCTAGCCGTAGACGGCCATAATTCCAACAACTTCTACACCTACCTCTCCTGTTCCCATACACTTGGGGACATTATAGGCTCCTGGAAAGTTACATTAGCCAAGTCAGAAAATGTGCACAGATATGTACTGTACAACCGAGGTCAGTTTTAAAATTGTGAAATGTTAGAGAATAGACCCATATATATAGGGTATATATATATATATATATATATATATATATATATATATATATATATATATACTGTATATGCATTTATATGCTGTATATGTTTTTGTATATTGTAAGATATAAGTCAACAACGCCTCCAAGGGTTTAACCTTGTGGCCTACACCTCAAACAACACTGTGGTACTGAACTACACTGATCAAGATGAAGAACCTCAGTCTGTTTACACAATCACAACAAGATCAATGGCTGTCAGAACTGTTGTCATAACCGCTATTGAAGTCCTTACTTTATGCGAGGTGGAAATATATAGCGGTTAGATTTTTTTATTGCTATATTTAATCGTTCAACAACATACTAAAGAGAATTAAAAAAACCTCCACCAATATCTACTAAAAGCGTAAATTTTTTCTATTTTTTGCATCATTTTGATTTTATTTATTTTTTATTTTATTTTTTTGAGAGTATATGCGGTATGTGAAGAACTGTAAAGTGTTTATGTAGAGAAAATGTTATACACAAATTTATTTAGACGATTACTAATTTATTGCTATATTCTTTTGTAGAAACACCCCTTTAATTATGAAAGTTCAGAATAACAATTTTATTTTTACAAAAAATTAAAAACTATTACGAGTTTATTGAAGTGAAATGCAACTTATACCGATAAACTAGATTTAAAGCCAAACCAAAATTAATTACTGATAATTAAAAACAAGTATAAAAACATAAATAATTGATTTTCTATATTAATCTATTTAAATCCTTAAATATATAATATAACTATTTGCTTCTTTGCTGCACACATCATCAAATTCGAGAATACAATGCTTAACTACACTTAAGCCATTTTTCGTCTGTCCATAGACTTTATTCTAGATTCTAGATTAAGAATCGAGGTCAATATCAAAATGAATTATTTAGTTTCTTTGCTATACTATTTCAGGCCTTAAATAGGTATTTTTAAATGACAAAAACATGTTGTCTGAGTTGTGACGTCTTTTTAAAAGTGGGATCTGTTGTTTTTTTTTTTGTTTAATTATTGTGCTTAATTATTTGTTGATATTTGTTTGTTTTTCTTCTGTTGTAAAAAGAAGGTTAATTCTGGTAGGATCAAGCTTTCATTACAGTTTTAGTCATCTTCATACTTAACTGAGCTTTAAAAGAAACTTTATTAATATGTTAAAACTGATGCTGAATACATGTCTGCAGTGCTAACATTTACATACTGATCATTGTATAAACATAATTTAGACACGTATTGCCAGAGTGGAAAATATGGTTTGGAATGTGCCAAGACCTGCAACTGTAACGACCCAACTGAGACATGTTTTGTGGCAACAGGTGGATGTCAGTCTGGTTGTGCTGTTGGCTATCAAGGAGAAGGTTGCACCCAAGGTATGTTGATTTAACCACACAGTAAAAAAAAATATGCTTTAATAAACACAATTTTAAATAGTGTGATTACTGAATTATACTAACCTAACTATGAACAACATAATCATACCCGTGTGTTGCTTAAACTAATTGCAATCAATAATCGAATTTTAACATCAAAGCTTTCTATAAAAATATGTGTTTCTTTGTATCTATATTTCTCTATTTATATAACGACTAATTAAAAAACAATTAACAGTATTAAACAGTAAAAATATAAGGTTCATTCTGGAAGCAAACGAAAAATAAACTATATGTGTATTTCTTAGATACTAATATAACTCTATATAATCACCGAACACACTTTAACAATGAGTAATAATATTATGCGTGTTAAGCAAATTATAATTTTTTTTTAAAAATCTGTGGTTACTCTGCATGACACAGCGAGTGTGACAAATTATTACGTAGCAAATAGTACCAGTGCTGGCTGTGTGGACCACATTGATGAACAGTGCCCAAACTGCCATTCAGACTCGGATAACTCCGGGCTTGATCAACGCAAGTAGTTTGTGTTTGTTTTGTCTTGCTTTGTTACGACGTGTTTTTATTATGTTATAAAGCGTTTTATAACATGATTAAACGTGTTTCATAACCTATTGCATTTCTAAATTAAACAATGACCAAATTAAATAATGACCAAATTAATGAAAACTTCGATACTTCCCTGCCTTGTGTCAGTCATCGGTCAAATCTAGTTGGACAGATAGACGACATGCTGTCCAGGGTAGAGAATCAAACACCAGATTTTTAAATGTATCATTCAATCTCAATTTCAACCGATCGAGCTTGCCCACCCCATTTTGTCTCACAATGAAGGTAACCTAACACTCGTTCTTCTGTTCCACAGACGGGGACAGATTTCATGTAGGAATCGGTATCGGTATTGGCGTAATGTGTATGATAACCATCTTAGTCTGGACAATTTTCTACGCTGTTCGTCGCTTCAACAGACCAGTATCGAGATCTATAACGGCTGTAGAAAATCAAACAGACTCTCGTCCACCTGTTGATGGTAGCGAAATGTGGTCTCAAGACTCGAAACAGATTAGCCGGTTCTAGATCTGAGTCATTCTGTTTTTACTGAAGCTCAGAGTAAATGGCTTAATAGATATACACCATAGGCTACACCATATAACTCTACTAAAAGTATACTACAATGACACAAGGCTTTACATAAACCTTATATTTTTTTAATTTTGTTTCAGACTGCTAATTAAAATCTTCAAGCAAGCACAGCGAGTACAGTCAGACATAGGAATGAGGGAGAAATGTACTTCCACGTTCAGCTTATTAAACACCTTTGGACTAGCTTTGGAATACAAATGTGCCAATATCCATTGTTTTTAAATTGCTATCGTTTTGTCGCTTAAAATAAATAAATAAGAATGCATTTTTCTTCATGTTTATTTGATGTAATGCATGTACATTCATGTCTAGCGTAATGCACGTATTGTTCTCTCTACTTCATCAAGGCCAGAAGCCCGCGCGATAGCCCTGTAAGCTACACACTAATCCATCTAAGCCGCTTTGTAGTCTCCGGTACACAAACTGTCATATTTAGAGAATGTGTTACATCAACTTCAGGTCTAGCTGGAGATATTTTGTATCACGTGTAAAATAAGCTCAATTTTGTCAACACGTAAGTTACACAGCTATGTATTCTGTAGCCTAGCTATTGAGGTCGTGATTTAACAGAAACTTCACACTCTAAGCACGTTATTTTTTATATTTTGGAAAATCAAGTCGAAATGTGTTTTGATTTTCGTGCCAATTGGTACTAAAATTGCTAACAATTTAAAATCTGTGAAGAAAAAATAAAACAACATTCTAGTTCAAAACTTGACTTGAATCTAAATAATCTACATTGAAACCAACCGACAGAAATGTCGATGAAGGAAATGACGAAATGTTCCAGCTTTTAATCATTAACTCGACTTACCCGGTCATCCCTTTGATAACTGTGGGTTTCAGGGGTCATCCATAAATGACAGTAGTATATTAGGTCCCTTTTGGTTATCATGGGTGAGGCGGAGGGTGAGGGTGAGGGTGAACAAAGGATATGTAGGAAAATACTCCCCCAGCCTGGTACAATGACATATAGCAAAATACTCACCCACCAGGGTGAGGTGGGTGAACCGCAGGAACAACGAGATATAGTAAAATACTCCCTGGGGGAGGGTGAGGTACATCGACATATAGTAAAATACTCACCCACCTGGGTGAGGGTGGGTGAGCCGCAGGAACAACGGGATATAGTAAAATACTCCCCCACCTGGGGGATGCGGAGGTGGTGGGGGGGGTAGGTCAGTAGGTCACCACCGGTGACCTTGTGACGTAATCAGTGACCTTGTCACGTAATTAATGACCTTGTGACATAATCATTGACCTAGTTACGTAATTTTAATGAGTTTTTTAATTAGTTTTAATGAATTTTTAACATTTTAATGAATTTTTATTAACGAGTTACGTAATTTGATTATTTGTTTACTTTTTTAATTGTCTCAAAACCTGATTTAACGGTGTTTGAAAGAAAATTCCAGCCCTTAAAAATATTTTGTTTTCGCTGACCCTCGCTATAAGCGAATAGTTACAACAAGGTAATGAAAAAAGTGCGGTTGCTCAGCCTAATTACAGCACCAGCTGTTACCTAATGGCTTCACGGAGCTGACAAACCGATCGGTAAAATCCATTAAAGTGGTAACATTTGTTCCCACACTTAACGCAGAGAGGCACTTAATGGCTCGCATTAATCATCATGAGCTGTCAAACCTAGCGGGGAAAAATCCATGATGCGTGACCAAATTAATTAGGCGGACCATCGTGCTGATGATGGCCCGTGGGTGGGATCAATATTAACTCGCCCGTTGTACGGTGCTTCTAAAAAAACAAAGGATCGCTGGTGAATCGATAAGTAACAGGTGTTGATAACGATTAGCCGCGGATAAATGGATGATATACAAAGAATGTTCTAGTACATGCTAGCACACCCCTACCCTCAAACCACGTCATTACTCCCCTCTCCTCCCCGACCATCCCTCTCAACCACCACCACCCCCACTCCGTTTACTATTAAACATAAATACAATCAAATAAACAAACCAACAAATAAACAAATAAACAAAATAAAATTTAAAATTTAAAATTAATAATTTAAAAAAATTTAAAAAATTTAAAAAATTTAAAAAATTAAAATCCAATCACGTAACTACTCAATAAAAATTTAAAATGTAAAAAATTTAAAAATTAAAAAAAAAATTTAAAATTTAAAAAATTAAAATCAAATTACGTAACTCGTTAATAAAAAAATTACACAATATAAACAAAGTAATTAAATTAAACAACAAGTAAACAAACAAATTAAACAATTAAAAAAGTAAACAAATGATCAAATTACGTAACTCGTTAATAAAAATTAATAAAAATTTAAAACATTCATTAAAACTAATTAAAAAACTCATTAAAATTACGTAACTAGGTCAATGATTACGTCACAAGGTCACTAATTACGTCACAAGGTCTTTAATTACGTCACAAGGTCACTGGTGGTGACCTACTGACCTACTCCCCCAACGCCTCCGCATCCCCCAGGTGGGGGAGTATTTTACTATATCCCGTTGTTCCTGCGGCTCACCCACCCTCACCCAGGTGGGTGAGTATTTTACTATATGTCGATGTACCTCACCCTCCCCCAGGGAGTATTTTACTATATCTCGTTGTTCCTGCGGTTCACCCACCTCACCCTGGTGGGTGAGTATTTTGCTATATGTCATTGTACCGGGCTGGGGGAGTATTTTCCTATATATCCCTTGTTCACCCTCACCCTCCGCCTCCGCCTCACCCGTGATAACTAAAAGGGACCTAATATACTACTAATGACATCACGTCTGTCACTTATCGTCACAAATTAACCACGTTCAAAAAGACGTTTTTTATCTTTTAAAAACACCGATTTCGGCCTGGCATAGGTCTGACCACACTATCCCTTCGTGTATGACGTCACAGGTGACCTACACAACTCTACTTCACCTGCCTAGTGTCCCGCCAATTCTCAGACAACATATTTTTATCCGGCCGAACATGTCTCTGACCACACTATCCCTTCATATGCTTAGGACAAAGAAACAGATGAACTCTACTTCATCTGCCCTGTATCCCACCAAGTTCAGATAGTCAAATTTATCATTCACATCTTTAAAAAATTAATATTTTTTTTACATTGACGTGATAATATCACGTCTATATAAATAACAACTTAGCTGTCTAGACTCGTGTTGTCACTGATGTTTTTTGTGGTATAACTTAATGCTATGAGTCTCCTTATGCAACTTGATTTACGCGCATAGGCTAGATCTAGATCTAAGTCTAGTAACTTTCAAATTATATTTTATCTTAAATTAGCCAATTGCATAGCTAAACAAAAAAAGATTTATATAAAATAATGAAAGTCTGAAATAAATTATAGATGTAGAATTTACATTAAGTCTAGATCTAGAATTTACGTTAAGTCTAGTGACCTAGATCTAGATCTAGATCTTGATTCATAACTTTTTCTTCCTTCGACAGCTGATCTGTAGATCTAGAGAAATTTATTGTAAAACTAAATGAAAAAGACAGTTGAAAATTGATATAAATGTTGGACCGTATCAAATAAAGCAAACACAATCTTCTTCAATAGAAGCCGCCATTGTTTATGTAAAAAGTAAAGAAATCATGTGACGTCACTATTCAGTCAAAGTAATTAATGTGGTTATCTACCAATGAATAAATTAATACATTAATTAACGTCTTTAAATAAATTTGTGATTAAATTGTTCTCTACCTACATACTATTTTACGCGAATGTCCAATCGCTTCCGTTTTTTCCCTTTAAAGTAGATAAAGAAACACGCATTTTCACGATGTATTGTTAAAAATACTTCAACGCAATATGATTTGTGTGGATTTGTAATGTATCTGATAAAGGAGTGTCTGTTTTTTTGAATAAAAACCATTATATTTGATCTCCTGGATAATTTATTCCATTTAGAAAATAGAATGGCATTAAAAGGTGAAGATTGTTTTTAATGATAATAGTTTTCTCTAAAAACATCCGATACTAGGGCACTGCAACATGTCTTAAAATACAACTGTTTCCAACTGTGTACTTAACTTTATTTTAATATACGGACAATAATTTTTAACATCAAATAAATGGCATAATTTAACACACTTAATCCCCTTGTTATGTATGTAGAGAGCTTGTCGCATTCGGGCAAGTGTCCATTTGGGAAAACCGCCTCCGGGCAAACGACATTTGACAAGTTTCTTTCAGGAAAACATCCGGTTTCCAAATAAAGGTAATAAATCTATGTTTTGTGAGGAAAACCAATGTTTTTGTCTGACAGTTTCTTCTAAATAATGTGTATGTAAAATAAAATAAAAAACAACATAAACATAGACACTATAGTACACTGTTACACTATCTTATTTAGATGTCTGGCTTTAATTTTATTAAAGCTACAGAACGTGTTTATAAATATCATGACCTCTATGTAGTTGTAATTATGCGGATACGCACGCACTTATTATTGTGTGTAATCCAATACATTGTTTTGAATAAAAGCTTAGAAAAATAAAAGCAAACTTTAATCTTCTTGACAATACAAAGAAATGAAATTAATATCGATTCATGAAATTAAGGTGTCATTACAATTATAAAAGTTACAGTCAAAGAAACATTTTAACATGTACATTTTAACAACAACATGCATGTTAGAATTTTTAACATGAAAATTAAGCCATGAAATATTTTAAGACTAGTAATAACTAATACGTTGATTACCATTTAAAAACCCAAATAAATGTCGCCTTTTTTGTTTTGTTGTTGCATATTTATATTTCAATTCTTGCGGATTGAAACAGATATGTTTTTTTTTATACAAATATCAGTTATATCATATCATTTTACTTTTTTTAAGAATCAACTTGTTCTTTAAAAACGACAAGCTTTTATTTAATCTTTTTCCTTGTTGTGGATAAGTCTTAGGAGTGGAAAATTGCAAGCGAAATGTCCACCAATTCTACATGACTTACTTCTTTCAAACATTTTACATATGTCAAGATTTGAAAGCTGTGCAATGTGACAGAAATATGACTTATTTGGATGCTGCATTATTGTTAAAGAGTTTATTAAATGCTCATATTTAAAATTTAATTAATTGTATTACATTATAATATAATTTGATTTCATTTAGTGCGCAATTATTCGTAGTCATGTCAATAATACATTTAGAGTATTTTAAAAGAATTAATTTAAAAAAACATCTTTGTAACATAATTTTCTATTATTATGTACCAAATCGGAGCAA